ACTCCCGGCACCTTTTTCCAGATGCCGAGAGTCTGACGAGAGGAGAGGCCGACCCGTGTCTGACAGCGCTGAGGTCAACAGCGCCGTCAAGCGAAGACCCCTTGGCCAAGGGGTACGCCTTGGGATGCAAGCTCATCGAGAGCTTGCAGAGCAAAGCCTAGGGCGACAGTCTAGTCGCACAGGGGGTATAAGCTTCAGACTAGCTGAAGGAAGAGAGAGAGAACATGGATGTGAAGAAGGGAAACTTCAGACTAGCTGAAGGTCAGGACGAAGAGAGGTAAAGGCTTTGGGTCACGTTTTTATACCCAGTCCTTGGACGGTGTGGCCGGGCGTCATCCGATTCAGACGAGTGCAATGAGGGCTCGACCGTCTCTATGTTAGCGGAGTTTGGCTAGGCCACTCAATACATTGGCTGTATCTGAAACGTACCAAAAGCCGACGGCGCACAGGCAAGCATAATTTGACAAAGGAAGCCAGTGAACATTGCGAGCGCCGAGTGCGCCTTCCGGGAGCCATGTCGGGTGTACTTAAGAGCTCAATAATCCTGATGATTCACAGCGAGCATACCGACAGGCAAAGACCATATATTAGCTGAATACATGTGCAGTGGTATTCCTAGGGAATAGGAATCTTGTGTCTTTATTGTGCGTAGAAGTCAGAGTGAACACTGATTGACTTCGCAGATGCACTGCCACGAACCGATCGACGCCGTAGGAGCACGCGAGCATGTAAAGTCAGCTCGAACGAAATCAGTCTCCGACAAGGCGAGGCTTGAAAATTCGGATTTTCCCTGTCGTCTTCGCAACGGCTTGCAGACGCATTGACCCATGGAAAATGAGCTGGGCAGCAACCGAGGCTCTGAGCCGTTGCCAACGTGGTGAGTGGCGAGAAATGGTGGAGGCACGTCAGAATGGGTTTCATTATGCCAACGAGAAAGCAAAAGATTCAAAGATACGAGACTGTCAGCTTAGATAAATCATACAAGAAAAGGGAAATCCAGATAGGTCGCGCGGAATGTGCAAGGGACACAAGAAAGTCAGGGAGCACGCGAGAAAATAGACGTCGTCAGTGACAGTGCTGGCAAGCAACGTCAGATTCGAAATGCCAGCGCCTCGGAAACAAGCGCCATGATACACGTGATCACGATGTAGTAACTACTATTACTAAGTTAGTAAGTACGATGACTTAGTTACTTTGTAACAAACACCGTGTCCTCCCAATGTCATCTCATTCATCCCTTCCAACAATTACAAGATGTCTATGCAACTTGACCTTTTACCTGGAGATGGTTTTTCTGATGCAGTCCGTACTACATTGAAACCAACCATCGAATGAATACTGCAATGATGGGTGTGAATAAAGTCCAGTATGACGATACGGTCGCATGGCCGGTATTGGCAACAATATGGCACAACGCGGCGGGAAGGCCAAAGAAGACTATGCAAATGTAAGAGAGTGTTTATCCGCGTGCAAAGATGAGTATTCCAGATAAATTCTGCCCGAAGCCTTACGGACGGAAGATTTCTCGACCATATTGAGGTTAAGTATGTGATATACTCTATCGCTTTCATCGTACTAATATTTTTACGATACTCAGAGATGCTGCGCTTAGTACAGGTGAGGCCAGTCAATGTCCTGTTGCCGAGCGGATATAAGTAGAGCACAAAATGAGCTGACTCGGACCTGCGTATCTCAAACTACCTCTCTTTGTTAATCTATCTGCCTTCATAGAAGCGGGTTGGCACGCATTACGTCTCTCCGATTTCAACCATCTGATATCTTATTTACACATCAATCATTTAGGCAGCACGGTTACCGCCATACAGGGGTCAACTCTATGAATACGTCTATGCATCTATTAACAAGTACTGGAGAGAGTCACTATCCACTAAGGTTGTGCCGTTCGTTCACAGTTCTGGAAAGGGAAAGTCGCGCATGGCAGGTGAATTAGCGAAACTGGTGTTCACGCGCCATTTAATCTCCGTGATAGTGCAGAGTCTCAAGGTTCGTGTATTTCACAGAGGGATTGCGCTTGCGATGATAGTCATATTGCAGAACTTGCTTACTCTCCCCCTGACGATGAGGTGCGGGAACACTACATGACATCTCGTCCAAGGGACTCCATGGAGGCCCTATATGTACTATTTTGACTGGTTCGAGCGTGTCTTTTCCGCGACGAGGCGTGTTTTGTCAGAGCTATCGCCGGAGAACGCGTATGCCGATCTGGCTTGACACTGACGGTTGCATCTATTGACCGGTTCGCCTGATGAAACACAGCAGTTTCGACTGTACGAGTCTACGACGAGATGTGATCAGGTATGTACGTCTGCCGCAATGAGCTTCAGGCGAAAATTAACCGTACAAATGATCCGGGAATGTACAGCAGTCTATTATATCCCTAGATGCTTCCTGGAATGAATGCCATGAGGAACTCGTGACGCTGGTCGATGCAATCAACGGCCTTGTTCAGCATGAAGCGGACACAGCATGCAGGGACGTCAATCATGCTGTATTTCCACGAGGCCCATGTGCTTGCCAATGAAAGTGCTCCTACCACCGAAAACGTTGTACGACGTCCTCTGCTCAAGCCCGTAAATTTTTGAAGTTCTGCCTATCTCCGCCATCTTCCTGTCTTCAAAGTTGGACGCTAAGCGCCTCACACCGAGCCAGCCCATGTCCCAGTCCTCTCGTTCCCTGCAAAACTATTTTTTATTTCAACCACCGATCATTGAAGTCCCATTTGATTGTTCTGATCGGCTCCCCCTCAAGGTGGCCAGCTCACTCTTGGTGAGCTGAGTACTGTAGAGTTCATCGTTCAGGTTGGACGGCCGATGCGAGTGTGTTTGCTCATCATGTGTAGCTGGATTTGACCCTGCTAGCAGATATTGGGCCATGCTCAAGGGCACGGACGCACTGTCAGAAGAAGACAGAACTGCGGCTGCTTGGACTCTAATCGGGTTTGCACAAAGGAAGCTGATCTACCGTTACAGACTCCAGGTCGAACTGACCAGAATCCAGAGATTGGCGATCGCTGATGACAGGCTGATGTTCACGTACTCGGCTCGCCGAGAAGCGGGACGAGATCTGGAGGATGAATTGGTGGCCAGCCACATGCGTATGGCGTACTCAATGCAGCGAAACTGCGAGTATATGCGTTCGGGATACCCTTCCGAGCCCCACTTGGCTGAAGCAGCGGCTCAACAGCTGGCCATATCTAGAAAAGGATTCGGGTATCCACTTACTGGAATTCTCCGCGATAATCTTGATGGAGGGCTCATTGATCTTAGAGAGCGTGGAGAAGTGGTCTGGCGGGCGCTGCTCACGATGGCGTACGACTCGGCTGCCGAATCGGAACAACCGAATGTCCCGCCTATAACTACAGCGCAGGCTGCTCGGTTAACGGATTTATGAGACATATGTTCAGAGAGAAATACGCGGAAGAGATCCTGGAAATGGCACCTTGTCATGTCGAAGAGAGTCAGCCATTCCGGGAAGCGTTCAAGGATGGTTGGATCTGATTCACACACTTTGCGCAACACGGCGGAAGCGATACTGTATGCGTTCATGCAGGGATTGGCGTTCATCCGCCGTGACGGGAAAGCTTTAATCGACTGTCTGATGCCCATGCTTCGGGGAGAAGACCTGAAGGAAAGCGCGATGACGGCGATTGTTGTGCGATTCAAGCGACGGGTCAAGGCGGGAACGAGGGCCAGCTACTCCATAAGCTGAAGTTCTTCCCGCAAGACGAGATTGTGCGACCTGTCATCACGTTGGTGATGGAGCTTGGTGTGCAAAACTCGGCAGGTAGGTCGTCTACGAAGAAGGGAGCTGCAACCCGGCGAGAAAGTAGCCCGACTCGCAAGCGGCGCAAGAGGATCCGGGGACACTCGCTGGGAAGGTGCATCGGCCACAGGCGAGAAGACATCCGCAGTCACGTACAGTATCTTCGCCTATTCATGCTCAAAAACAGTCTACAGTGTCATCACTTAGGATGAGCGGAAGACGTATGTGTTGCTTCTCGCTCATGGAGATCTTCTCGCAGAACATGGTCGTCAGATTCAAGACATGCTGAGTGCTGGAACAGTCGCGCGCAGACGGTAGAGAGTGGGAAGAGATAATGATGATGGTCCGTAGCTACGTGTACATTGTGTATATACATATCTGTGTGGATTCCACTTGGGCCCCTGCTCTCGCGCTTTGTCTCCTTCGACGGCCTGTGGCTAAGCCACGCCGAGGCGACGGCTATAGCTGCGGTCGGTACCCTACGCCCGATATTCCAACACTGAGTGCGGTGATGATGATGAAGCCGGTGTGGGCATCAAACGAGGACAGCTGGCACTGGGTCGACGAGGACGAACAGCCCCGTGAAAGAGCAGCCAGGCCCCGGATGGCGGATCGAGTCACGGCCAGCACTGCGCTCGAGCCACTGAGGTTGAGATCATGACGGTGTTGCAGAGTAGACATGAGTTCTTAGTTGAAATGCTAAGTCGATCAGTATGAACTTGATTTCCGTGAAGAGTCTCAGTCCCTGTCTGAGCTATTGGACCCTGTAAAATTCTATTTCTTATAATTACACTCTTATAACAGAGCATACGCAGACAAGCCAAGACACGTAGCTGCAGTGCTTATGATTAAAAGTCACTGTTTAAAAGCATTCCAAGCATCGTTTAAGGAACCAAACACCCCGTTGGCCATCATCCTCTGCTCTAGGGTTGTATTATTCACGTTCAACTGATCGGTGGTAAGCACAGGCTCTGCGCTCAAGAAGAAAACACGCACCTTGTCGGGGTGAAGTTTCGCGATTGCTTTTGTATACCGAATCTTGACTTGATTCGGTGTCACCAGCTCATGCATCCCCACCTTCTGCCATCCCAGCTCCGGCCATAAAACAGTATCGAGGCTGGCGATGAGTGCGCGTATATTTGTCTCTTTTCCATTCTTCCATGCGGCAAGCCTACCGTCGATACTGTCCTTCAGTTCATGCCGCGCCTGGTCCTCCGCCTCCGCTGCTTGGTTCGCCTCCCGTACCCGATTGAGCGCCTCGTTCGATACAACCACGGTCGGCTTAAATGGGCGTGGCTTCGATGCACGAGCCGGTCGAGATGGAGCAGCAGATGGAGCAGAGGGCCCACCGCCGTCTATCGGTGCATTGAGCATCCGCCGACATCGACCCGCACCGCGAACAGCTTCCATGCGTGCCTTGCCTGCCCACTCGGCAGCAGCAACAGCCTCCCAGTCTTGTCGGGCAGCGTCCCACTTTTCCTTCCCTTCATAAGCCTCCGCCCGACGCCACAATGCCTTGACGAGTCCGTCCGCAAGGTCGACACCAGCACCATCTTCCTCCCTCGCCACTTTCGCTTCTCGAGCAGGATGGTATGTTGGGCCAATGAGCGAAACGACTATTGCACAGTCTTCAATTGCACCACTGTGATCACCGGTTTTGATGCGCGCTAGCGCGCGGTTGTTGTATAGCGGGACGAGCAGGAGGTGCGACTCGGGGAGAGCGGCAATGGCAGCAGAATACGACGTCTCCGCTTCGGCGTACCGACCAAGTTTGAACATCTCCGTCCCTGCAGCCTTGTGCTTTGCTGACGCAGCAATGGCAGAGGATGTCGCAGGTACAGTCTTCCTCTGGACGAGTCGGATGGGGGACGGTGCACGAGGCGGCGATGGGGCGAGGGCAGGAGCTGTAGCTGAAATTTGACTGCGTGCGGGCGTCTTCCGCCTGAATGGCGACGTATACACAGCAGGTGGATCGTCAGAAAGCAGATTCCCGGTTTTCGCTCGCTCAGGCGCCTTCTGTCGGGGCTCCAGCTCTGCCTGCTTTGGGCGGCTCCGAGCAATAGGCCGGGATGGCGGGAGCACTTCGCCATCATCATCGTCCCGGAATGCGCCGCCTTCGGCGTCGTGCCCGACTGCATCAGGAATTGCTCCGTCGGGGACGTCTTGCATCCACCTTGGTCGGCCATTCCTGCTTGATCCTTCACCTGTGCGCGAGGTACTGCGTTCTTCGTATACACGCTGTACCTTCTCTTTGCCCTCCTTCCAAAACGCATTCGCGCGAGTGAACATGGTGAGTCCAATCTCGCTCGCTTGAGCGATCAGCTTGTCCGCCTGCTCTTGGAGATTTCGCTGGGTCTCACCAGTAGGCGAGGGTCCGTCCCGAGGTTCGTCCCGGGGCGCCGCCTCGCGTGGTCTGGTAACTGCACTGCGCCGAGTAGAGGGGGCTGAATGAGTACGTGGTCGTTGCGGCGCATCGCGCTCCTCGTCTGACTCGTAGTAATGGTCCCGGGCGCTTTGTTGTCTTTGCCGAGGTCTATCATGAGGTGGAGAAGAACCAGACGCAGCGCCATTAGAAAGGAGCGTTTCTAATGCTGCCTGAACATCTAAACCGGTGTCGGTGGCGGCGAGAGCGACACGAGCTTGCTGTACTGAAAATCCCATCTCTACTATCTGCCCTAGTATATGTGGCGGCGGGGATATAGCACGGTTACGTTGTTCAGAACGCGGAGGCGATGTGCGAGCAGGGCGCCCCTAACAAATCCGATATGATTGGCGCATGAACGAGTAAAATCGAGCAATGAAACATACAGCTGATGGCCTTCGCTCGGGAATAGGTTTGCTGAGCTCGCCCAGGATGTCATCCTCGTCATTCGAATCGTCATCTAGCAATCGATCTTCACGGTCGCCAAAATCGAAATCCCCCGGCGTACCGGAGCGCGCTTTGGGAGGTTCAGGAGATCGACGAGAGGAGGATACTATTGGTTCAGATGTGAGGTCATCAAAATCCAACAATGAGCTAGCCGGCTTTGTCCCAACAGGCTTCCGCGCGGCTGGCTGCGAGACAAAATCTTCCAAACCCCAGTCATCTTGTTCCTCCGTGGAAGGCTTCGCCGTCGTTGCAGAGGCTGTCGATGAACTGAATCCAAAACCCCAGTCGTCATCTTGAGATTGCAGCGCTGAAGAGTTGGTGACCGTGCCCAAACCTCCTAATGAATCGAGTCCTGCCCATGCGGCTGCCTGCTGCTTCGCGGTCGCATGTTGCTGAAGCAGCTGTTCTCTCCTCTCCTTCTCCGCCTGGGCTGTCCGTTCAGCTATCGTCATCTTCGCACCGTTTGCCGAGCTCGATGCGAGTGAACCCGACAAGAGGCCACTGAAAGCATCGCCGCCGGAGCTGACCGATTTCTGCACTTGGCGAGCATTGAGGTTAGATGTGGATCCGTTGAGACCTAGCGACCTGGTCGATTGTATCGGTCCTGCGAAGGGGGTATGCGAGCGGGATGCGGGAGAGGACGTGCCCGCGGATGCCAGCATAGAAAATGCATCGTTCTGGGCAACTCGAGAGGAAGCCATGGCCGGAGTCAACGAGCCGAGCTTTCGAGGTGCCTCCGCAGGTTTAGATACACCAGTCGAGTTCCATAGATCCGCAAACGAGTCACTCATAGTTGCATTAGTTTCGGGTCAGTGTCCAAGAAAAGCAGCCTCGTCAAGAGAGCCCGAATGTAAATCGTGCAAAATACAACACTGAGCCAGCGACCAGGTCAGCCCGCATTCCGGTACAGATGAGTGAATGGCCGTTTAAACGGTCATACCTGAACGAACTTGCAAAAATGTATCAGTCCACCACGATCACAGAATTCGACAAGCCACTCACCAGCCTTGGATAATTGTTTCGATATGCAGAATGCGAGGTGCGCAAGTTAGTTTGTAGTTGGTGCAGAGCCTAGACTAAGACGAATCAGGACGAATCAGGGTTATGTAATCGTTTAGGCGTCTCGGACGCCTTTTGAAATTTGAAGTCGTCTACAAGTAAACTCGGCTGGCAGCCGGCGCTTTCACTTATGCACTAGGACTGCTGATACTCTACCGTAGACTGCTAGCTAACGCTCCTTGAGCTTGTATTGGATAAACATCAAGAAAGAGGGCCCTTTCGGCTGGCTGGAATTTCTAAATGTATGCGCTCTCGCGTTATAGTACCCGACGCGCATCGTACGTGCTGAAAACCTCATGGCGGCGGCATTCATCGACAGTTCGTGAGGAGAAGCCGTACTATATCACAACTCCAATATTCTATCCAAATTCTGGTGAGCCTAGTCCCAATACGCTATTTACTTTGTGATGCATTATGGAGCGGCAGAGGGATACTACCTGTTCGACAAGTATCGGACGAGACGTATAGATGAACAAGCTGTTTTAAGAGACCGCGGGAGCCATACAGCCTGTGTATGATTGTGCACGATGCTGTCTGCATGTTTATAGCGCCGTGTGCAATGTTGGCGGCTCAGTGGCGGCTTGGCGCGAATACTGATTTCCTTTATCCTCAGTACCCCACATTGGTCATCTGCACTCTCTAGTCACTGCGGACATATTTGCACGCTATGCCCGCCTCGAGAATCCCCATAGGCCTGTGTACTTCATGACAGGCACGGACGAACACGGCATGAAGATTCAAAAGGCAGCACAAGCTAGGGACATGGATCCGCTATCGTTTTGCGATGAGCTTAGCGAACATTTTCGTGTGTGTTTGGTCATGCATATGCTATGCATAGAACAAGACATGACGGATTCCACCTGTAGGCTCTTGTGAAAAAGGCTAATATAAGCTCTACGCGCTTCTCTCGGACGTCTGAGCCTCAGCATCGCGAAGCGGTCCAGCACCTGTGGGTAGGTGAGAGGTTTTTGAGTCGGCATATAAATATGAATTGATTTTCCATGACAGCGTAAATTGGATGCGAGAGGTCTGCTGTACAAAGGTCGTCATTCTGGGTGGTATTCCGTTTCCGATGAATGTTTCTATCCCGATCTTCAAGTCAAACGCGTGTCGACTCCTGGTGGTGAAGATTACCATGTCTCTACCGAGACCGGTTCACGGGTCGAGTGGATGGAAGAGGAGAATTACATGTTTCGTCAGTCAGTCTTCCAGGACGTGCTGAGGTCTCACTACGAGAGCGTGAATCCTCGCGCGATATATCCACCGCAACACCACGCGGATATCCTTCAAACACTTTCAGGCCCGGTTCCTCTGGAGGACTTGTCGGTTTCTCGCCCAAGATCCCGACTATCATGGGGTGTCCCCGTGCCTGATGATCCAGAACACACTATCTATGTTTGGATCGACGCCCTGACAGTGTATTTGTCGTCGTCTGGGTATCCGTGGACGAAGGAAGGAGATCTCGGCGTCTCTCGGGGTTGGCCTCCGAATGTACAAGTTATTGGAAAAGATATTCTACGGTGGGCGGTCATGATAAGCATTTTGCTGATTTAACGAAACTGAAGGAGTGCCCTAGCTTTCATGCCATATATCTCCCGATGATGCTGCTGGCGCTGGACCTGCCATTGTCACAGCGACTTCTGTCTCACTCGCATTGGACTGTGAACAGGCACAAGATGTCCAAGTCTGTTGGTAACGTTGCTGATCCAATTGAAGCAATAGATGAGTTTAGCATCGATGTCGTCCGCTGGTATCTTGCGCGGGTGGGTGGTCACTTTAGGGACGATGTAGGTAAGTCAATTGAAACCTGTGATAGACGGCCCGGGCAACTTATTTGCTTTCTGCTTCTGCACAGATTGGTCCCACGAGCAGCTTCAAAAACATGCTAGGGAAATTACGTCACTGCTTGGCAACCTGTTTTCTCGCATCACCTCTGCTAAAATCCGTGCTTGCGTCAAAGGCCACGATAGGGTAGATTCGCAATTCGTGCCAGAAGCTGCTTCCTTGATAGCGTCCACGTCGCTTGCCGTGCCTCTATACTGCGAAAATATGCGCGCCATGCGCGTCGCAGATGCTCTAGACGGTATTGTCGCTGTCTTGCAGGAGGTTCGCTGGCAATCACTTCTATCGTTGAGACATTAGTTACTCACTCGAATCCACTAGGCGAACTTGTTGATGACGCAGACGAAACCTTGGGCGCCAAACACGTCTCTCCAGACTGTTGTGGACGTCTACGCCGCCGTGCTCGAGTGCCTCCGCGTATGTGGGATACTATTGCAGCCGTTCATTCCCTCCAAGGCGGCGTTGCTCTTGGATTCGCTTGGGGTACCGGTAGATGAGCGCTCGCTCCAGTTCGCCCAAGCTGAGGTGCGCTCTCCTGCTGCAGTTCGGCCTGGTGTCATATTGTTCGAGAAGCCCAGCAAGGCCGTTTCGTAGACGATTTCCCCAACGGTTGATAGCCCTGGTCTGCAATGTACTGTACTCACGACTAATATCAATGCTCCCCACTTGGACCATTCGGACTGGAATTACAATTACAACACCGGTCATCTCGCGTTCCTGTCTCGCTTGCTGCCTACCTGATCCGAAAGGCGAAAACAACAAGCCTTTGGGCAGGGGATGGGCGTGAAATGCATCCGTCCTCGCAGAGCGCTCGATTGTCCGTGAGAAGGTGGACCCACAGAAGCCAACAGCAGTCTTTGCCCTTTGTTCTCCATGCCTGTTGCTGCCATTTCTGCCATATTCACAGCCCTTTGTTGTGCTCATATACAGGAACCGGTCGAGGGCGATGCTGCCCCGTTACTCTTTGTCGCAGACGCGACCTAGTCAGTCTCTCCGCATCCTTTACCGACCCCGATGAAGTGGCATTCTGCGCAGCACGACGACCCGCAGGCTCAGCAGCCTGGCTCCTCGTCGACGGCAGGCCCAGCGCGATTTCGCGACCGGGTGAAGAACCTCGCTCGACCGCGCAAGGAGAGGCAGCAGCGTGAGGACATCCCCATGATCCAGGTGCACACCGCTCCTACACCGTCGTCTTCGCATACTGCTCAGGATGAGAACGGCGCCGCGGCTGCGGGCCCATCGACCTCGTCCGAGCCCACACCCAGTGCGTCGTCTTCGGCTTCGTCGGCACCTGCGAATGGCGCCCCCGTCTCCGTCCCTGCCCTGCCCCGCGCCGGGTCCGCATCGACATCGCCCGCTGCGTCCGCGCCCGGCAGCTGGCGTGCCCGCGTCGCCGCACGCGTGCAGGCCGAGAAGCGCGGTGCTACCGTCGATAAGCGGATGGTCGAGTTCCACGGCAAGTTGCTGCGCCGCGCTCGCGCCGTGGGCGGGACGCAGGCGTACAGCGTGGGGCACGGGTGGCGGCGGTACGTGCACTTGGAGGGCGACGTGTACTACTACCACCCTGAGCACCGGCTCGTCACGCCCGACGACGTCGAGAACGGCGAGCAGCGGAAGGCGGTGGAGGACGCTGCGGGCGAGTTTTGGGACGAGCTGGAGCAGGCGGGGATAACGGATTACATTCCGGACGATTACGAGCTGGTCATGTCTGTCGATGAGGAGGGTCCGACGCGCGCGGACCTCGTATGTCGCCGGACGGGCCAGCTGTTCAAATGCAATCCGAGCAAGCCCGGTGAGTACGAGCTTGATGATCGAAAGACCATGGTTTTCATGTTTCTCCAGGTATAATTGAGCAGGTACACACCTACGCCTACTGGGTGCACGTCAACGAGTTCCCCATGCACGCTGGGCCCCTTCCAATCAGCGCAGAGGTCGAGTTCCTCAACGCATTGACCTACGGCGCTAATGGTATGCACCTACTCCCACACACCGTTCCCATTCCCTCTCACATTGCGCCTCTCAGAGGCGATCTTGGGCGACGAAGAAACCACCTTCCCGTACACGGACCAGCAGATGGAACAGTTCATGCGTCTCTATCGCCACCAAAAGAAAGGTAACGCGCGCCACTCACGTCCGGCTCCCTGCTGCCATCTGACTGGCGCACGCGCAGTGTCCTCGAACCCGTACACCTGGCGCGCCCTCACGTATCTCGTCGGTACCACGCTCGCGGAAGTGCAGAACCGGCGCATGGGCAGCGCGCGGAAAGGCACGGCGGGGACGTACGGCTCCGCGTTCGACATGCACCGCGCGCGGCGCGCGGACGCGTCGTCGTGGCAGCTGGCCGCCGCGCAGTATCTGCTCATGGCCGTCCTCCTCGGCGCGCACCGCATGTACTTTGCGCGCCTGCGGAAGACCCGGAACGGCGCGACGGCGTACCTGCTCGACTTCCGCGAGGTGCTCCGCCAGTTCGTCGCGGAGTGGACTGGTGCGTAGTGAGATGCAGGATGTGTGGTGCCGGCTTGCTCACGACCGCGTTGCAGATTCCAATCTCCTGGTGAGTCCGCGCGCCGTGCTGTTCCTGTCCGCGCGACGCTGACGCGCGCCCCTGCGCAGGCAACCGTGTTCGTCGGGTACGTGGTTCTCTCGCCTTCTCACACGCGCCTCGGCTCATCGACCCCACGCGCAGCGGGAACATCGCGTTCCAACAAGTCCCCGTACGTCCTTCTGCCCCGCGTTGATACACGGAGTCGACTGACGCCCCCCCGCACAGGGCATCAGCAACCTCCAGCGCACGGCCTCCCTCGCGTCCGCGATCCTCTCCCTCCTCAGCGTCGCCACCGGCGTGTACCACGTCTGGCAGCACCGCCCCATGGTCAACGCCGACATCACCAACGCCGTACGTCCGCCCCTTTCCTCTCCCTCTTCCGCCTCTGCCCGCCTCCTCCCGCTGCGCGCTGACCACCCCCACGCACACAGGTAAAGTACCTCAACCACGCCGGCTCCTGGGAATCCCGCTTCCGCCTCGCCTCCTCCGGCGCGGGCACCGCGCCCACGAGCACGGACGCGGACCTGCTCCCGACCGCAGCCTTCCTCGCGGTCCCGTTCGCCGCGCTGCTCTGGGCGATGCTCACGTTCACACTCGCGCTCGCCGCGCTCTGCGTGCAGAACTCGGCGGCGCTCCTCGCGCCGCTCGCTGGCGGGGGCGGGGGCGCGACGGTGCCGCTCCTCGCGGGCGTACTGGGCGTGTTTGGCCTCTTGGCGCTCGCAACGTTGGTGTTTTTCCGTCATATTTGGGCGGGGGCGGGCGAGGGCGAGGGCGGGGGCGAAGGTGAGGGTGAGAGCCAGCATGGAGGCAAAGAGGCAGACGGGGCGCCGTCTGTGTCGGTGGCTGCTCCTGCCACAGACGCCAAGGCGAGTCTTCTGAAGCGGAAAGGCGCGAGTGCGGCGGCCACGCTGCGCAAGATGATTGCGGCGTGCTCCTGCAGGCCGCGACAAAAGGCAGGTGACGAGGAACGTGGGCAGGTCGACTGAATCGGATGAATTGTATTTCTTGTATGTCAGCACTTGCTCGGCTTTCGCATTGCCTACACGGCACGCATATTGTACTTTCGATGTCGGACCTAATACATTGCACAGTTGGACTGTAAAGGTATCTCATAAATAACGCGGAAACTACTATCGTTCATTCCTACACTATCCGTCCTTTCTATACTCCGGGGTATCTGCGATTGTCTTCGTCCCTTCTCTTGTCTAGCCAAAATGGGGGCATGTCGATAGCTACAAAATGACAGCGTATGCAAGAACAAAGCGGCGACAACAGTGGGCAAAGAAAATTACTGTCACGTGAAAACAAGAAGTGTCCAGACTTCGGAAAAAAAAACTCAACGAAGCGAATAATGAACGATTAAAGGTGATGTAAGATAGAGGTCTTCAGCTTCCCAAGAATGACCGCTCGGCGATTGCAGTTTATGGCTTGCGCGCGGTGAAGACAAGCTTACACTCCCTCGCGGCGGGGAAAGTGACCTAGCATATCGTCTCAACTTCTGATTATACTCTTCAGGCGCATGGCTGAAACTTACGAATGCATCGCGCATATCCATACTTCGCTCATTTGTCTCCGCCGCATTCGCCGTTATCTTGAAGTTGCTGACCACGGCGGTGACTACGATGCGCAGCACCATATGAGCAAGATTTTGTCCACCGCAGATGCGAGTGCCAACACCAAATGGCATCATATGTTGGGTCATCCTTCCACAGACATTAGGACCACTACATTGCCGAGAAAATTATCTCGTACCTCGTAATTCTGTCTTCCTCTCCATCGACCCCCTCCATCTCGAGCCACCTCTCAGGGAGAAAGGTTTCGGGGCTGGGGAAAACATCAGGGTCACGATGCATGCTCCATGCCTGGGTCGAGACAATCGTGCCAGGAGGCAGAGCATATCCCATAAGATCAAAGGAATCATCAACATTGGGCGGCGTCGTGGATGTGACCACGCGCTCAAGGAGGGAAGGGGCAGCTCCATAGATGCGGAAACCTAGGTGGGGTGTGAATTTGAATGTTGTCCACGATCAGCTACATGCGACGCACCCTCTCTCATAAAGGCATTCAGATAGGGTAGCTTGCTGAGGATGCCAAAGTCGGGGATCACGCGACGGTCAGGCATTGCCTCGTCGAGCTCGGCCTGGAGTCGCTGCATGATGTCCGGACGACGGCTGATTTCCCAGAAGAGGTACGAAAGAGTTGTCGACGATGTGTCAACTCCGGCAACCCTAAAAAAAGCAGGAGTCGAATTAGCTTGATAAAACCAAAAAGACACCGGGCAAGTTCTCCAAGAGATTAGCAGACGTACAAATGGCCCATGCCTTCCGAGATGATGTCTCGGTCTGCCATGCCTTCATGTGTGGCAACGACACGATACTGGAGCATGCGTTGCAGAAGGGGGACCTTTTCGGCTTCAGAGTCGCCACCGACAGGGCCGGCCTGCATCTTTGTGCGCATTTCGTACAGACGACCTGCAACGAACTAGACGACGAGCCGAATAAGAATAAAAATCGGATATCAAGGGCTGAAGTGAACCTGAGCCATGATCGTATCTGAGTCGCAGATCTGACGCCACCGCTCGCTTGGAATGCGGCACACAAGATCCCAAGCCCAAGCCGGGACGGCGCTGCGCTAGATGCACGGACGTCGAAAGGTGTCATAAAATTCACCGCAAGGGAATCAGAGACGGCGAATTGGCCGGCATGGAGCCACGTACCAGGACACCACGCTTGGGAAAGTCGTACACGGCAGTGGCGAGAGGATCTTGGATATTGAGCGCCCAGTTGTCGAGCGAACCCGGACGGGAACCAAAGACGGTCGATCCGATAATGTCGACCATAAGGTGGCGGAATAAGTCGAGGCAATCGACGGATGCCTTTCCAGAGGCGATGAAGAGGGTCTTTAAAAATGTACATAAGAACGAACGCATACATGCTAAGAAATGAATGCCGGGCGTACGTCAACGAGTTTGAGGGTGTAGTCGTGCAGCTCTGGTTGAAAGAGAGCGAGATTTGAAGGAGTGTAATGGGGCGCATAAGCCTTGCGGCGGACTGCGTGCTGTGCGTTCGGAAGGGTGGTCATACTGAGAGGAAAAAAGAAGATGAGTGTGAGTAAGGGAAGCGAGGAAAGATGCTCACGCATGGTCGTTGTTGTTCCTGCAGAAAAAACGGTCATTATGTGTGATGAAGAGCGAGGAAGGAAGGACGATGGCTGACGTGAGGAGGCTCTTGTAGTAAGAACTCTTGTCGAATTTGTGTACGCAGTATACGCTCTTCATGGCGGTGGCGTCGCAGAAGACGACCTTGTTCGGGCCGACACGAACGACGGGACCGTAGCGGTCGAAGAGGGCCTGGACTGTTCTGCACTGCTGAAGGCGGACGACATGGGTGGTGAGCCACAAGTCGGAGACGGCGGCATACCAAGGGCCGGGAAGGGCGGAGAGGGGAGAGAAGAAGAGGCGATGGACGGCAGAAGCAGCGAGGTAGACAAAGAGAGTGGATAGCGCAAGGAGGAGGTAAGTGGAGGGGGAGGCTGTGAGGATAGGGCGAGAAATGACGGAGGGGGACGCGATGGCGAAGATGGATGAGGTCTGGGGGGAAGCCATGCCGGAAGTGGTAGAGACAATGGCTCGGAGATGGAAGTTTGTTGCGGTGCGTTGGTGGTCCGAGGGGAGTCGAGGGTAAACTGTGAGATGTACTGTTCGCAAGATAGCGGGCGGGGGGATATCACCAATTGGTTCTGCGTTGCGCGGTAGGAAGAGAAGGTGGTGGGAGGATGGAAAGGGGCGCGCTGGGGACGACGAGGGGATGGTGAATGATTTTATATGCCCCACGAGTGGCCCGAGCGTAGGAGGGCAGCCGGGGAGGCAGCGGGCCGTCACAGATGTCATCGCGATGTGTGCTGGATAGGGCTCAGCCGTTGCCTGGCCGGGGCGACGTCCGGTTCGTCTCCGGATCGCCGGTGCGCCTGCTGGATTCGTAGGTTGGTGCCCGCTGTCTGAGATTGGTGGCCGAGGCCGAAGCCGAGGCCGCCCGTCATCGGGGCGACGGCGTAGCAACGCTCGCTCCGTGTCCGCGTTGGCACCAAGGGAAACAATCCTGCCCTGTGATCGATCACCCACTTCGTCATTGTGTGTTGTGCGCCGCACGTGCCCGTCTCCGCCTGTGGCTCGTCCCAGAGCCCGCCGTCGTCCCGAATGGGGGGCTGGCCCTTCCGGAATGGCCCGCTGCCTCTCGCATGCCCCGCGCACGAGGCTGGTGTCTCTCCGCTTGACGACCTGCATCCGCACGGCCCGTCTGAGGATACATCGTAGCACCAGCCCCAATGAACAGCAGACACCGACAGATAGACGGGAGACACATGCACGACACCACCCGACGCGCAGGCCACGTCCTCGACATGGCAGATACGCCACTTTGCAGCTCCAAGCATCCCGCTAAGGGCGGACCTGTCCTCCGGGGAACTAGCATTTATCAGCGGAATCCCTCCAATATTGCACGTACCACGCACCCGCAAAGCTAGGACGACAGATACGCCCCGGGTGACCTCAGACGGCCCAACAACATACTTGGGTCCGCCCCAAGATCAATATTCAATCGTCGAAGCAGAAGCACGACCATGCACCTAGGCACGATGCCAATCGAATCAACGCAGCCCCTCTGACCAGGCTATACGAAATCCGCCCAGGTGCTGTGGCGTCGGAATGTCCCCTGGACCATATCCATCGTTCATTGTCAGCACTCATCCGAGAGAGCATCGTCAGCCATGCAACGAGCGCGGCACCTCCGACGGCTGTCCGGATCTCTGGCATCGGATGTCTTCGCCCGCATGTGCGCACATTCTCGACGGGTGCGCCCGCGTCAAACCACCACCAGACGCACCAGCTTCCACGCGGAACCGACAGCCCACAGGACAAGCAGCATTGTCCGCGCATCGGAGCGCAGAGCCCAAGAATACACCAGAGGCGATCCACCTGGCTCGGCAGGACAGTCCACCACCAACAGGCGCACGCTAGGAACTTCGCTGCGCCAGAGTTCGAGATCTGTAGACCAGGCAGATGCACTACGCGTAGTCGGTAGTAGCACCTGGCTCGAGGACGCGCCCCACCGAACACCTGATTGCCCGACGCTCTGTGAAAGAAAGACCGAGCGCACGGTCCGCACGCCGCGCGCGTACTATATCGGAGACATCGTGAAGGTTCACCGTCCACGTCATACAAGCTTTAAATTGAAGGCGAGGGCTAGTCTTCCGCTTGTGTAGGACCTCCGAATCGAGGTTCGTAGTGGGTAGGAATGCACGGATCTTCATCAAGGCCTCGTATATACATGTATCGGCAGTGCTAGTGGAGAGAACACAACTGTAAAGGAGCACATGAACTGTGCGAGCGTCACAGCCTTACCTGAGCGAGGCCGATATCACGTTGAATGTCGATCATGATGCAGATGGGCGCATGAGCGCGTATTTGGGCGGCTTGTACCCAGCCCATGTCGTTCTGGGGCTGGCACAGTGGCAGGATTCTGACTCCCGTGTTCTTTTGGTACATCTCCTAAAGGCTCTCCCTGCGACAGCATACCAAGATACCCAGTGGAGGACTTTTCTTCTACATATTTAGCTTCATACCACTTGGGACTCGGATAGCCAAACCTCTCGCGGCCCGGACAACCTTTCACTGGGTCAGAGGAGCTGAAAATCGCGCTTGGGCACTCCCGGGATATTGGAACGATAATAAATTAGCCAGACCCCTCGCAAAGGAACTGGAAATCGGCCGGCTTGAGCTCTCCCGGAAAGTTCAATATACACGTGGCGGGCGGGGTCTCTTAACATGTCTTCTTTGAAAGAGAGTGAGCATTAGGTGAGTCCCAGTGGATCATTCAGCGCGTCGACCTCATGTCAGGAGCTGCCTTTACCTACCAGGACGACTCCCCGGAAATAGCACGGTTCGCCAGTGGATTGTTCAGTGTGACAACCGCACGTCAGTCTGCCTTTGCTTACCAGAATAATCCTCCAACCACGGTGCGTCTCTTGATACGTGAGGCTGAAAAACATATTCTGCAGCAATGCAAGTCATGTCCGAGTGCACAGTATCCGGATCGCGAGCACGAGGATGTTCTGCTTCATCGCTCATAACCCAAGACTCCAACGCGGCTGCCCTCACAGACCGCCATGATATTCTAGATGCTTGCTGTTACTCTTACTCGCAGATCTCGCTTAGACAACCATCGCTCCCGTAACCGCCAATTCTTATGCCAACGCAGTGAAATTGTTAAAAAAGATTATTATTCAAGGCATCTTGAAGCAAGTCCTAAAAGATGGCTTTCCGGTAGTGATAGAGATGTACTACTAGGAATGGTGAACGCAGGGTCTGTGTAGTCGGTCCTGAATGGAATTGCTATGGCTACGCCTGTGAGGGTAAAGTAGGATAGAGTATCATTCAACCCGATGCAGCTCGTCATGGTGTAGAGTAAGTATATGGCCGAAAAACAATTTGATGCCTTGGGCAGAAGGGAACAACAAATGTCTTGTCCCATCGTCTTGCAAAGAAGGTATGAATGAATGACTTCTCCCGTCATCTTCTCCTGAAAGTAATTTTGAACACTGGCTGGGTGAGCTTGTGTTTGCGGTGTCAAAGCGGCCCAAGCTGTGACCGCCTTGCTATGAGTCTCACTTATGACAGGTCAAGCTCAGCTTCAAAGACATTCTCGCATTCGCGCTCCTGAAGGCGAAAGAGAGTTATGTCTTCGACGCCGATGCGGCTTGCCTTGACCGACAGCTCAGACTGACCATTGCCACACTGCTCGAATTTCCCATGGGTCTAGATTAGGCAAAAACGCGGCCACATGAGCAAACTCAACCCACTAATGGAACGTGAGGTCCCGACCGCGTCGCAATCGAAAATGACATACATGGAGAAATACGCTGAACGCGTGTCCAATCTCACAAGCCAGTTGTACTTTCGTGGACGGGGTCACAAAGGTGTACTTCTTTTCCCCAAGATGTGTATAACCCAGCCACTAGTAGGTAGACATTTGGTCACAATTCATCCAAGGCATACTGAATGCAACGCACCGTGATAGCCAAGGTGATCTTCTTGGAGGAGGTCCCTTCAAGGACACAGGAGTAGGCATCCTCGAGAGTGCTTTCAATCACTCTCTGAGATCCATACCCTATGTCCCGCAGGGGGACACCCAAGCCACGTCCAGTAGAGAAAGGCACACACTCCCTGCATCCCTCCGAATGTTGAAAGTGTGATGGGAGGCGAGACCAGCTGGACGCATTTAAAGCGAGCTCACTGGAGCTCACAGCGGGGAGTGCAGTTGCACAGCAGGGGTGTAGGCTGTAGGAAGCACAGGCCGCAGACGTCAACAATGTCAACAGTTTCTGAGAGGCGGAAACGCACCCTATCCTGGCAGCTCCCAGGGGCGATACTCCAACGGGAGGACCAGAGAGTGACGATTGAATCAGGAAGCGCAAAAGGATTAATCGGGCGGGATGCCCTGAGCGACGGCGGTGTCATCAGGACCGCCAAGTTTAGTAAGAGGAGATCGTTGAACGGGGTGTAAAAGACTTGACTCTGAGGAGACCTCGAATTCATACTCGTATTTATACGGCTGGGACGTTCTCTGACTCATGGAGCAAACAAAGCGACATTGTGGCAGGGTGGGATCCGATCACGATGTGGGCAAGGCCGTGCAGGCCGTTCTTTGAGCCGCAGGTCTGTGGCTGTTGTTCATTGTGACACTAAGCGGCCTCGGCTAGAGCACTTGTGTTAACAAAACAACCAGGACACTGCGGCCGGCGTTGCCATTGTCTTTGGATCAGTCAGTGAATAGACCAACGAGGTGTACACACACAGTGAAAAAGCTTGTGGTGGGCTGAAATCGATTCCTCGCTATGCTATTAAGCGTCTCACAGGGAACTTTGCGTAGACGAGAAGGATAGCCGTCAGGGGCCTTTAGTTATTTCGCAGGTCCAGTTTCTGAGAGTGTCGACATGTTCGGTTGATGAGATCCGGACTGAGAAGCTATCCTGAGGATCTCTGCCTCGTACCCAGCAGCAAATGTCAGATGCCGAGCCAACAATGAGGTGGATTTGATACTCCGGCGGTTGCGTAAGATATATCGCTGAAAGTCGCTGCATACTCCGAAAAGGCGGTTATAATTGGGAACAGGTGAGACGACTGAGTGTTTTATTCAAACTGTCATCAAGGACAGAACCTTTGTAGAGATCGAGGCAATTAGCATCCTCAGTGTGGAAGGTCTCTCTCTCCTCCTTTATTGCACGCTTCAAGTAGATCAAGTCTTCGAGCACAGCCACCGGAGAACGCCTGCGAGAACACGAGCCTGCTTAGGAGTTCGCGAATGTTGACTTTCAGCAAGATGATCCATTTACTTATCCTCCTGACGCCGGAATATCCAGAAACAAAGGTGGACTTGATCTAGCATACGCAACAAATTTGTGAAAGTTTCAGGCCAGATAGTATGCGTAAGCAGATACACAGGACACACCCCTGACTATTTCTTCCATATAGCCTCCAGAACATGTCTTCTCACCGTATTGAAGTTGGGACTGGACGCTTGCCCGACGTTCATTCCGTGCAACCAGTGACTTAAGTAGCAGTAAGATTGATGCTCCAGGACTGTGACTGTGAGTGTGGAGCAGGGTGTCCTTCGCCTGCAACACGCACTCTCGGCCAGACAGGCTGTAGCACGCCGGGACTTGCGCAGTCGAACAACCCACGACACACGACGTCCTGGAATACAATGGAGGTAAAGAACTCCAGCAAAACAGCCGTTTGGGGTTTCTCCCTTGAACATGCGGTCAGAAGGGGCTGTAGAGTTTTGGATGGACGGGCGCCCTGATAGCAGTGTGGTTGTCTTCGAAATAGAGTACAGTGCCATTCTGATCGACTGGAGCGATTGGCATGATGGGGTACTGAAGATGAAGCTAAGTGGCATATGTTTTGTCACTCTAGGACTTACAGCTATTCTCTTGCATTCGAAGGATCAATAAGTCATTCCTCGTACTCGAGCTCTTCTTAGTGGGTCATTTTTGGCTGTCTCCGCTAGAATATTTGAGTGTTACAAAGAGTCTGTGCTTCGCGTATAATGTGATAGAATCGCGTGAAGCGGCGAAGAGAGCGAGTCTGAGACCCGAGGCCTTCTACGGTAGCATGAACAGGGGTTTAGGCAGACCAAGTCCCATACATCAACTCAGGTTGAGATGACAGGAAGCTTTGAATTCATCCCGAGCCGCCTGTGTGTCTCCTGTGTACCGTGCGACAAATGCTCTGTTCACGGTTAGTCATCTCGCCGCCACCCACTCAGTCTTCCTATTGACTCGTCAGACTTCAGTACATTCAGGCTGCACTGGGTATGATCACACCGAGAAAATGGCCGATACTAGTGCCTGGTAACAGACAGACCCTATCACTGACTGCAAGGGGATTGGGTACTTCCGAAATGCTCACGACGTTGACAGCTGTGCTGGAAGGTATGTTACACCTCAATTTTTACAAGCCACTATCCGCCATGGCCTCATCGTTAATGGCTTTTAAGTTTTATTGCAAGGTATCACAGAACGGCAAGTGCAGTTGGTGGTCTTGCAATTATACAAGTGTCCCAAAACTATGCCGTTAAAAATCTAAGGCGACATGTGGCAAATACGAATATAAGAGCCAATACCCACAAGCGTGAAACCTCAGCGATACATCCAGTGTGAATTCACCTTCAAAGTTAGCCACCATAAGCTCTTTTTCCATGCGTGCTTATTGGTCCGTTTGTTGACTCGTTCAATGGCAGTCGCAATGCCGGCCGCAGTGATTTGTTTTAGTCTTGGTTGTTTTGTTGACATAAGTGCTCTAGCCAAGGTGGTTTAGTATCACAATGAACAGCCACAGACCTGTGGCTCAAAGAACGGCTTGCATGGCCTTGCCCGCATCGTGATCGGGCCCAACCCTGCCACACGCTTTGTTCGCTCCATGGGTCCAAGCGCGATCCAGCCGTATAAATACCAGCATGAATCCTCAGTCTCCTCAGTTAAGTTATCTACGCCCCACTCAAGCATCTCCATTGAACCTCAGTAGTCTTGATGACACCGCCACCTCTCAGGGCATCCCGCCCGATGAATCATTTTGCGCTTCCTGACTCAATCGTCACTCTCTGGTACTCACACTGGAGTATCGCCGCTAAAAGCTGCCAGGATAGGGTGCGTTTTCTGCTTCCCGCAAATCGGTCGCATGGTTGACGTTTGCTGCCCTGAAGCCTATGCCGCTTTGTGCGACTGGACTGTCACACTAGGCTCTGCTCTGCAAGCTCTCGATGAGCTTGCATCCCAAGGCGTACCCCTTGGCCAAGGGGTCTTCGCT